TTGTTTGACTTGTTTTTCGCTTAACTTTGAATTGTATTGAATAGTCACTGAAAGCCGAGTCCAGGCCTTTGATGACTAGAATCCGAATTAACCGCAGGAGAAGCCGTTCCGCTGCCGATATGCCGGACGACGACCACAGCGCAGGTAATAAGTTGATACCATTCCTCTTGAGTCTCCTTAAACGGCTATTACTATGCGTTAGACTGCATGTCGATGATTGTTAAATGATTTTCCCTATAATTATAACTGTAAATAGCTTTTTGTTTGTATAAATGTGTAATTAATGTCAAACTCTATCAAATTCAACGCTATAATGAAATTAAAGTTAATGTTAAATGATTTTGTTTTTGATTTAATTTAAGAAAATTCATCCAATTTCCCGGCCAAACGCAAAATGGATATCCAGACACTTAAGGACTTCCAGATCAAGAAGCCATTGCCTAATAACAGCGATAGACCGAAAGCCCGTCCCTTAGCCGCGAGACTTAACGACTCGAGCTCTCCGTCGCGAATACCGGCCTTTAGAGAACCGGCAGCTAAACGTTCCCCACTTGCCACTGACTCTATACGACTAGTAAAGGCCCGTATGCTGCCGTCCCCACCGGCGGCTACTGTTCACTCAGTGGTGTCCCCCAATTCGGCAAAAAATGCAAGGGTACTGGCGCCCATTAATGAAAGCACTGCCACTCCCAATCGACAGCCACTCAGAGTTGCCATCAAAACCCCAAATCTTAACAAAACGCCAAACAATTCAGTGGAGAAGTCCGAGAAGAAGTCGCTGATTAAGCGTCTGTTGGCGTCGGCGACGCCTACCAAACGGACGGCCCCTCGCGTGCTGAGGCAGTCCGTCGACGATCGCAACATTACTCGCACGCCATTCACTGATCCGCAGACTTTGATTGAGGTGTTAATGGAAATCCTGGCCAAACGTCGGGTCCAGTGCACCAAAAAGGCGTAAGTGATCGCTGTTTTCGTATTAAGTGTTTGTATCTAAAAATTTTGTCATTATTTTTGCAGTAATTTTATGATGAAGTGCGTGCTGTCGTCGATGAATATCATTGTGTTGGCGTTCACTCTCGAGGTCTGTCTGTATGAAGACAAGTGTGTGATTATAAGGAAGCGATTGAAGGGTGACTCTTGGGATTACATGAAGATATGCGAAGATTTAAAAGACCTCCAAAACGTGACTGTCTGTGAAAATTCCGTCTGAAATTGCTTTCCAAATGTTCACAACAATTATTTCCAATCATACAGTAATTGATAATTCTGTTCACCAAATTTAATATGTTTTTAAAAGTTTTTAATTATTCTTATAGATTGTAAATGCGTTACTAATTTTGTATTAATGTTTTTCATTATAAAATTGCATCTATTTTTTAATCAATAGCACCTGTATTTCAATTCTTGAATACATATTCTTGTAGAATATTCTTGTTTTTGTTCATTAGTCGAGTGCGGACTCCAGTGTTAGAGAAACTAATCATTTGTTGCTATAAATCGATGCATTCATTATAAACTCCATAGCGAAGAGTCGCCACTAATCATGAGACAAACATTTGTGTAAAAGTTTTTCAAGTAATTATTTCTTAGCTATAATTTGTTATATAATTTTCTAAACAATGAATTAATAAATATTGCCTCAAAATAGTGATTTAAGATCGAAAACACAAAACATAGTCTCATTGATGGCCGAACAGCAGATATTCTGTAGGGTATGTCTGACACCACCGGATCAGCTGAACGAGAACCGGGTGGAGCTATACAGGGATCGGGTGTGCGACTGTCGCGGCACTGTCGGCGCCATATGTCACACGTGTTTGGAGCGACTGGTGCTGACGTACGGCGAAAGCCATTGCATGCATTGTATGAAGAATTACGCGAACATTGAATTGGTGTACAAACGGGATGTGATCGACGCGTTCAACCAATTGTGTGACAAACTCTTCAAACTATACCTCATATTTCGCGGCGCCTTCTATGTCGCCATCATTTTCCTCTGCAATATGAGGTTTGCCTTTCTCTTGGCCTTCACTCTCACCCATTACGACCTCAACGGCAACTACTCGCCAGAGGTGGTGGGCATCCGAGTCACGACTCGACAGCGTTTGTGGTCTAAGATATGGGCTGCCATTCGGCGCGCGTTTACATCTTGAGCTCAATCTTATTATCAAGTGTTTCAATAAAATTCACAAAACCTATGTAATGTTTTCCGGAATATTCTTACCGTATAGATAAGTATTCTCTAATTTGTAAAAAGCCTTTGAAATTGTAGTTTTAAGTATATTTGTGATTAATGTTATCAAGGTCTGCCTTATCTCAAAGTGCACCCAAATCGTGATTAAATAAGCGTATGATAGCAATACTACATGCACTAATAATGCATTAATAATGCACTAATAATACACTAATAATGCCCTAGTAATCGGCTTTTTAATCCATGCATTCATTATAATCTCATTAAAAACAATTAATTTAAATTTACCACGGTCTTTTGATAAACTTATGATACACTTTTGCCATCTATGGGCCACAAATGTGTTCAATAAAATAAAAATGCATTCATCAAATTATTTCCTATACTAACTCTATGGGGGGTTTTTTACTACCTTTTAATATAACGTACTCAATATGTTTATTGTATGTAAAAAGGATTTTGGAAAAACAGTCCATTCGTGAAGGGTTAGTGTGAATGCTTTCTATGGAGAAAATACATGGGATTTACAATGCATTCAAAATCAATGCATTCATTATCGTTAAAGGAAGTTATAGTATAATTATAAATAAACAATTTTCCAGTTACCTTGGTGTTGCTTTTTGTACAATTTCCGAGTTAATCATCAATAAAATTATTTAATCATTCATTTTATAAATGGAAACTATTTTTATCATAACTTTTTTGTTATCACAATATGTTTTGAATAAACGCATGATTGCCGATTAGTAATCAGTGATTACAGTTAGAGATATTAACCAGGCACATTCAGTAAACATTAAATCACTTGGAACTTTAGTATAAAAACTAGACATATTTCATACAGAATTTTAGTATCAATATTAATTATCGGGTTATATTTGAGTCTAATTTAAGTGAATACTAAACACAACTTTTTTGCCACAAAATGTCCCAAAAAGTGCCAAAAGATCTGTTCGTTAGGACACCACTGATCGAGAGCTTAGAGCTGAGGCCTTACTGTCCACACAAAGTGTACCTGAAGTTAGAGAACAGTCAGCCGTCCACCAGCTATAAGATGCGTGGAGTCAGTCGACTCTGTCAACAGGTCTGTGTCCATAGCCATAGCCATCAACTCTATGATCACTAAACTATACCCAAAACAACTACACACTAAAGGGTGCGCTCGAGGGCCGGGATGAGATCATATCGTCATCGGGTGGTAACGCGGGTCTGGCGACCGCCTGTTCCGCGCGTATGTTAGGCCTCAAGTGTCGCGTATTTCTACCCAATTATACGATTTATAGCAACAAATGATTAGTTTCTCTAACACTGGAGTCCGCACTCGACTAATGAACAAAAACAAGAATATTCTACAAGAATATGTATTCAAGAATTGAAATACAGGTGCTATTGATTAAAAATAGATGCAATTTTATAATGAAAAACATTAATACAAAATTAGTAACGCATTTACAATCTATAAGAATAATAAAAAACTATTAAAAACATATTAATTTTGGTGAACAGAATTATCAATTACTGTATGATTGGAAATAATTGTTGTGAACATTTGGAAAGCAATTTCAGACGGAATTTTCACAGACAGTCACGTTTTGGAGGTCTTTTAAGTCTTCACAGATCTTCATGTAATCCCAAGAGTCACCCTTCAATCGCTTCCGTATAATCACACACTTGTCTTCATACAGACAGACCTCGAGAGTGAACGCCAACACAATGATATTCATCGACGACAGCACGCACTTCATCATAAAATTACTGGAAAAATAATGACAATTTTTAGATACAAACACTTTTAATACGAAAACAGCGATCACTTACGCCTTTTTGGTGCACTGGACCCGACGTTTAGCTAGGATTTCCATTAACACCTCAATCAAAGTCTGCGGATCAGTGAATGGCGTGCGAGTAATGTTGCGATCGTCGACGGACTGCCTCAGCACGCGAGGGGCCGTCCGTTTGGTAGGCGTCGCCGACGCCAACAGACGCTTAATTAGCGNAGGATTTCCATTAACACCTCAATCAAAGTCTGCGGATCAGTGAATGGCGTGCGAGTAATGTTGCGATCGTCGACGGACTGCCTCAGCACGCGAGGGGCCGTCCGTTTGGTAGGCGTCGCCGACGCCAACAGACGCTTAATTAGCGACTTCTTCTCGGACTTCTCCACTGAATTGTTTGGCGTTTTGTTCAGATTAGGTGTTTTGGTGGCAACTCTCAGTGGCTGTCGATTGGGAGTGACAGTGCTTTCATTAATGGGCGCCAGTACTCTTGCATTTTTTGCCGAATTGGGGGACACCACTGAGTGAACAGTAGCCGCCGGTGGGGACGGCAGCATACGGGCCTTTACTAGTCGTATAGAGTCAGTGGCAAGTGGGGAACGTTTAGCTGCCGGTTCTCTAAAGGCCGGTATTCGCGACGGAGAGCTCGAGTCGTTAAGTCTCGCGGCTAAGGGACGGGCTTTCGGTCTATCGCTGTTATTAGGCAATGGCTTCTTGATCTGGAAGTCCTTAAGTGTCTGGATATCCATTTTGCGTTTGGCCGGGAAATTGGATGAATTTTCTTAAATTAAATCAAAAACAAAATCATTTAACATTAACTTTAATTTCATTATAGCGTTGAATTTGATAGAGTTTGACATTAATTACACATTTATACAAACAAAAAGCTATTTACAGTTATAATTATAGGGAAAATCATTTAACAATCATCGACATGCAGTCTAACGCATAGTAATAGCCGTTTAAGGAGACTCAAGAGGAATGGTATCAACTTATTACCTGCGCTGTGGTCGTCGTCCGGCATATCGGCAGCGGAACGGCTTCTCCTGCGGTTAATTCGGATTCTAGTCATCAAAGGCCTGGACTCGGCTTTCAGTGACTATTCAATACAATTCAAAGTTAAGCGAAAAACAAGTCAAACAATAAAATGAGAAATAAATGATTACTTGGAACAGCTGTGGGTTACTCTTAATGAGTCTAAATGTAGCCGTTTTGTAGCCAAAGTCGCACAGGATTTGTCGCTCCAACACAATGGGCGACACTCTCGGGAACTTCAACACCTGACACACTTCCAGCACTTCACTGTGCGTGGGATTCACTGGTATATCTGCCAAATCAAACTC